CTGCCCGCAGCTCTGGCGGCCGGGCTGGGGCCGGGATTTAAAGGGCTCAGAGCTCCCGTGGCTGCGGGGAGCCCAGAGCCCTTTGAATCCTGCCCGCAGCTCTGGCGGCCGGGCTGGGGCCGGGATTTAAAGGGCTCAGAGCTCCCGCGGCTGCGGGGAGCCCAGAGCCCTTTGAATCCCGCCCGCAGCTCCAGCAGCCAGAGCTGCGGTGGGGATTTAAAGGGCTCGGGGCTCCGTGGCGGCCGGAGCCCCGGGCCCTTTAATTTGCCCCTGAGCCCCGGGGGCTCCCAGCCACCTCTGCAGCTGGGAGCCCCAGGGTTGATTTAAAGGCCCCAGGGCCTTTAAATCATGAGAGGCCCCGCCTCTTTCGGATGAGGCCACGCCCCCTCAGGACTCCGGCAGTACCGATAAGTTCTGTAAGTTACTTTCACCCCTGCTGCAAACTGATGTGCAGACAAGGCTGAACACCCTAGGTGCAGGTAGCGCAGTGGTATGTTCCCTACCCCACTCAGTCGTTTGACACTAATGGAAGCCCCTGCCTCCAGCCCTGGGGTGCTAGGCACAGCTCCTGCTGAAGCCCCATAAGTAGTGGACCTAGATACATTTTGCTGGCCAGAAGACCTGGCTAGAGCGTGCTCCCAGGTAGTCCCCCTGCTCTGGGACACAGCTGAGGGCTCTGCCAGCCTGGGCAGTGAGAGGAATCTTTCTCTCTATTGGGGTGGAGGTTGCTGTGGCCATAACGCTTCTAGGCCCTATAGGGCTGCAGAGTGACAGAACCCTTCCCCAGAGAATCTGCTGCCCTGCAGACCTGAACTCTTGGCTTGGCTTTTGTTAGTCTGATTTTCCTGCCTGTGTGCTCTTGCCAGCCGGCTAGTTCCAACCTCGGGCTCTTCCCTGGCACTGCCATCTCAAGCCCTGTAACGTCAATACCAGGACCTTAGGCTTCTACTTTGCAAAAACACCTGCTTGCTGGGGCGAAAGGGATGCACCGGAAGCCCAGCAGATTGCTAGCAGGAGCCCAAGACTTGAACGCCATTGCTGCTCTGAATGCAGTTCTGACTGGTAGTGGGTGGGACCCATTCATAACCCATGGCTCTTTTGCTTCCTACTCCTTTACCTAGTTTCCAGGGGTTTGGAGATCACTTGGTTCCTGCGTTACACTACAATCTGCTGTTTACCTGGGGCTGCAGCCTGGCTTCCCTTCAGCAGCTCCACACACACACAGGTGCAAAGTGTAGTTTGGTGAGTGGGGAAGTGCATTGCCTTGCATTGCATGCGTGCTTCTCTTTGCAGAGTTTTAAAATCTCTCCTGGCACCCTAAGGCCTGGGCTACGCAGTTCTGTACTGGCATAACTATGTTGGTGAGGGATGTGATTTCCCCCTCCCCCCTTAATAGTTATACCAGTGCAACCCCAGTGTGGAAGCAAGTGCAAAGGTGCCTTATGCCAGGGGTTCTCAACCTTTTTCTTTCCGAGGCCCCAACATATTACAAAAACGCCACGGCCCACCTGTGCCACAACAACTGGTTTTCTGCATATAAAAGCCAGGGCTGGCATTAGGGGGGAGCAAGCCAGGCAATTGCTTGGGGCCCCATGCCACAGGGGCCCCTGCGAAGCTGCATTGCTCAGGCTTCAGCCGCAGCCCCGACTTCAGCCCCATGTGGTGAGGCTTCGGCTTTCTGCCCTGGGCCTCGTGGAGTCTAATGCTGGCCCTGCTTGGCGGCCCCGCTGTAGGGTGACTATAGGGACAGGCCCGATTTTGGGGTCTTTTTCTTATAAAGGCTCCTATTACCCCCCAACCCTGTCCCGATTTTTCACATTTGCTGTCTGTCACCCTACCCCCCTGAGACCTGCTCCTGGCCCCCCGGGACCCGCACTCCTGGCTGAGACCCACTGCCGCACGCTGCTCCAGCCCAGCTCACACCCAGGCGGCAGACCTAGCACGGATGTGGCTTATCCCGCAAAGCGGCCCGGCTCGCTTGTTTGGGTCTCGGTTCTGGCGGCGGAAGCTGGGTCCCGGCTAGGTCCGGGTACCGCTGTGTCCGCCCTGCGGGCGCCAGGCTCCGGCTGCTCGGGGACCCCGCCCCCGGCAAAGGGAAGCGGGGCCTTGTCCCGGCTCCGGGGTCACGGGTTCGCTCCCCGGGGCGGCTGTCGGTGTCTGCGCCGTGCGGGGCGACACAGCTCCGGGGGCGGGTGTCCCCGGCTGCCCAGGGCGCGTAGCCCGGCCCCGGGTCCGGTCCGAGCGCCGCGATCCGGGCCGGGCTCGGCCGCTAGGTGGGGCCGCCGCCCCCGCCGCCGCCGCCATGTGACGGGAAGCAGCTGTGTGCGCCCGGCCCGCCCCGCCCCGGCTGCGCCCCCGAGCGCCCGGCTCCCTCCAGCGGGCTCCGAGCAGCCCCGGCCCCCGCCGCGCTCAATGGGCCCGGCCCCGCCGACAGCCCCGGGCTCCCCTCTCGGCTCTCCCCGGGGCGCCGCGCCCCGGCCCGCCACACATGGAGGCGCCGCCCGGAGGCACCGCGGCGCAGGAGGCGGAAGGTGAGGGGGGCTCGGGCAGGGGCTGGGGCCGGGAGAGGGGGCGCGGGAGGCGGAAGGTGAGGGGGGCCCGGGCAGGGGCTGGGGCCGGGAGAGGGGGCGCGGGAGGCGGAAGGTGAGGGGGGCCCGGGCAGGGGGAGTGTGGGGCTCGGGCCGGGAGAGGGGGCGCGGGAGGTGGAAGGTGAGGGGGGCCCGGGCAGGGGAAGGGTTTGAGGGGGCCGGGGCTGGGAGAAGGGGCGCGGGAGGGGGAGGCACTGGACTGGGGGGCTGCTGCCCCCCCCCCGCCG